TAATTAGTTCAGTCTCGAGTTTGAGAATTATGAGTCAAGATTCTAGATTAGATCTGCAATAGTGAAGGATCCATGCCGCTCATGCAAATAGATGTTGAAGGCTTGAAAATTATTGAAGCTCACATGGATGTGGAAAAAACTCACTAAGGGCATCAAATCAACCAAAGGAAGCAACTCCGTCTTACCACAAGCCCAACGGAATCCGGCTCCAAAGCCCCAAAAGGTCTAAACCACTACCTTAGTATACCCTATCCTAGAGTCAATCACAAATATTCTCAAAACATGCACACGAATTAAACATGGGAAAGCATACATGCAAAGGCAAATTCTCAAAATGTAGAATGTCCAAAGAAAAGAGCTAAACAAGTAATAAGAAGAAAAATAGCCTCAAAAATGTTTTATTTGTAAAAGAAAGAAAGAAAACAGCTAAAATTCAAAAGCTAGAGTGAAAAGCACAGGAATGCAAGCAAAGACATGTAATACCCAATCGTCAAACAAGTGGTCATTCGGCAACAACGCCAATGATCCCAAACACGCTAGATGTTACAAAGAAAACATCCTCGAACCATTCAAATCATCCTACAGCTAACCCTAAACTAAGGAACCAAGAAAGAAAAAGAAAAGATATAGAAAGATCTCACCGAGCGCCAAAGCCATTCTACAAAATCAAGGTGAAAGAGTACCTTATATATCGTTGAAATCCAAAGCATAAACAATAGAGCAAGGTGAGAATATGAGAACTATATACAAAGAAAATTGTTAGTAACTTCCAAACAAAATCAAACAAAAGAAAAAGAAGCAAATAAAATAAAGAAAATAAAGAAAAAGCAGACAGCAACAAGAGTAGAATCCAATGAGATGTCTTACCGAAACAGTTAACAAAAAGCAAGATAGAAGATAATCATCATCAGGAATCATCACAACAAAGATACAGAGAAATGCATCAGACAGCGATCAGTGAATCAAACAACAAATCCAAAAAGTAGGGTAGAGATATCAATAAAAGCATAGCATCATCATAAAACCAAAGGACTCAGAGATCGATACCAAAAGTAGATGAGACAAGGAATGAACTACAAAAGCAAGGGGAAAAAACAACGAAACTCAAACAACAAACGACATATAATACCCCCAAGCTTAAAATGGGCCACCCCTCTAATTCTAAACCTAAAAAAATTAGCAAAAGATAAAAATAATATATAAAGTCCAAAACAAGGAGGTGGGGACCAAGGTAGTATCATCCGCACTATGGTAAGGGGTAGAATGAGAACTCCCCTTACTGGTCTCCATCAAATTACTAGAGATTTCCATCTAGCTCACTTCCATGGGAGCCTTACCCCTCAACCGACTTTCCTTCCTAAATCTATCAAGCTTAAAATAATGAGACCAATCATCTAAGATCGGCTCACCTGACCTACCCAACCTACCAAAAGTCTTGGGGTCTGGGAAAGGTGAAGGATTAGCCGGATCATACGCATAATTACAACCCTCGGGACGCCTATAGTCGTAAGTGCCCGGGGTAGTGCCTATGATAGAACTAGGGTGAATATAGGGGCCCTCCCAATAAGGGCAACAAAGTCTAAGACCCACAGTAGGATCCAAAGGATCCCATTGAGGGAGAGGTCCTTGTTGGACAAGGAGGTACGGATAGTTGACGTAAGGATCTATCTCACCCCTAATAACATGCATATCATATAATCGATACGCATGGTAATCATAACCAAGGGAAGGGGGTTGCACAGAAGGCATGGAGTACAACATGTTAGCAATAGAATTAAGTTTGGCATGAATTGTTGACATATCGAATGTAAAAGGAGAGGGAAAAGGGGAGGGAATAGAAGCACCTCCCTGTTTAACCGGGGAAAGAGAATGAGCAATCGATAAGCATGCATTAGTTGAACGACCTCTTGTACAATTTGTCTTTCGTCGGATAGAGGGATGAACATCTCGCATCGGGGGCCTCTAGGACAAAGATTTTCTCTCCTTGGGACGAGTAGTTGCCTATTTTCAAGGGATGACGAACCATTCCTTATATCGAGAGACCATCCAATAAAAACATCGACCTTCCTTTCTCGATCAAGATATTTTTGATTCATGATAAGTGACTTTTATGTCACTTTTAGGGTGTTTATTGAGTCACTTTCCGACTTATTTTCCAATATTTTAACTCTTTTTATCCTTTATTTTTATTATTTTGTTATTCTTGTTTTTTGTCTTTTATTTGAGTGTTTTGGTAATTTTTAGTGTTTTTGTGTTTAGTTTATTTTCTTATTTTTATTTTATTTGATTTTATTGTTTATCTTTATGTTTTTAGTCTTTAGTTTTATTCTTTTGTCGTAATTTTATTTTATTTTATTTAGTTTCTTTTTATTATTTATTTTCTTTTATTTGTCTCGGTTTCATCCTCGGGTTTGTTTATGTGTAGGTTCGAGTTCGAGGTCCAAGAAAATTTCCCAAGCCTTTTTCATCCTCCTAGCTGCTCTCTCAATTCACCAAAACACCACGCACACCAACCCACAGCCCCCTTCAACCACCATTCACTCAATAACAACAACAGCAACTCAACTCACCTCACACTAAGAACCACCTCCAGCCACCAATCCGCCAGCAACAACCACATTCAGCCATCCTTAACACCATTCCCCTGCTCCCATAAACCGCAACCAACACCACCTGCAACCCCTGCTCCCTCACGCAAAACCGCACACTACTAGAAAACACCTTAATTGCGACGGAAAAATTTCGTCGTAAACTATGTAAATTCCGTCGTAGTTTACGACGGAATTCCGTCGTAAATGGTTGTCGGAAAACCCTTTGTAGGAAAATGGCCATTTTACGATGGAAATTCCGTCGTAAACCAACTTTACGACGGAATTTACGAAGGACATAATATCGTCGGACTTGGAATTGGCCTTTGAAGAAGTTCCGTCGCAAATTTGCGACGGAAAAAGTTCTGTCGCAAATTTGCGACGGAAAAAGTTCTGTCGCAAAGCTACATTACGACGGAATTTTCCCTCGCAAAATATAACTTGCAACGGAATTTTCCCTCGCAAAACACAATTTACGACGGAAAATTCCCTCGCAAAATATAATTTACGACGGAATTTGTAGTCGCAAAATATAATTTACGACGGACAATTCCGTTGCAATGTATATTTGTACGATGGAAAATTCCGTCGTAAATCATGTTTTGCGAGGGAAAATTCCGTCGCAAATTATATTTTGCGAGGGAAAATTCCGTCGCAAATATGTAAATTACGACGAAATATTCCGTCGCAAATTGTATTTCCAGCCTAAAACAAATTTTTGTAATTTTCTGCATTTTCAAACCTGAATTTTTTTAATGATAAATCGACAAAAAAAAAAACTAAATATTGAGTTCTAAAATTGTTGTTTTTAAAAAATTAATTACCGACCTACGAAATTGGGGTTATGTACATATATATACAATAATTATGTCCTAGTACAAAAGATAGTCCACATTTTGGTATCTATACCAAACAAAAGCTAGGTTAGAGTGATTCTATGCTAGACTAAAGCTAAGCTACGCAATCGCCTGGAAACCCTGGCCTGCTCCACCACCACCCGGGTCGTTCCTAGGGTCTCGATGCTGAGGATGAATGGTGGAACATGAGTCGTTGTTGTTGAGACGACTCATCATCTCATCGAAACTCTCCTTGTATCTCCTCTCCATTTCATCCATTCGGGCTTCCATTTGAGTTTGGAGAGTTTGCACCCTGTGTTCCATCTGGTCTTGCATTTGAGAAATGACAGACGGCGTGTATTGATGTGAAGAACGGGAACCTCGACCCTGTTTTCCATAGTAGAGCTCTGCACTTTGGCCAAGTCCCTTCACACGCCCCTTCTTATTGCGCCCACCCACCGACTCCCAGTACAACTCATTGGGACTCTTCTGAATCCCCTGACTCATTGTTTCTTCGAGCTTCTTCTGGTAGGTGTCCTACAAAATATTGAAGATAAAATAAAATATTGTTAAAAAAACAACCAACAATATGGAGTTATATCGCCTAATTTTAGGTGCCTAAGGATAGAAATTAAGAAAATTAAGCACATAAGTCAATTTTCAACCCTCACTCCTCCAAATTCATCCAAATTTGGCCTATATGGCTAAAACCATGCCTATTTTCTAAGTTTTCAAGCAAATGGACTCATTCTTTCTTCTAACATTCCAATATCAATTGCTTTCAAGTGCCTAAGGATAGAAATTAAGATAAATAAGCACATATGTCAATTTTCAACCCTCACTCCTCCAAAATCAACCAAATTTGGCCTATATGGCTAAAACATGTATTATGTTAGGTTAAAGTTATCATACGTTGAACAAGTTCCAAAAGTGCTCTCTCGAATCTTCATCAACCTCTCTATAATTCCTCCAAGGCTGAACATAGTAGCCGGTTAGCGAGTCGGAGAGCACATTCTTCACCGGCCTATCATCAAACCTATAATAAAGGATAGACATTCATTTAAGTAGATAATCAACAAAAAGTGAACAAAACATGGTTAAAGTAATACAAATTCACTTTATCAAAGTAAATACGAATTTAAGGATATTTCATTATACAAATACATACGCACCAAAGTGTGGAAGGGTCAAACTCTAGCAAGTCATTAGGATGCGGGTCCTGTAGCTCCTGTTCCTGAAGCTGTTGTTGCTCCTGTTGCCCTTGTATATTTTTGACGATTTCTTGAGAGGCCCCCAAATCATGTGCCTCCGCTTCCTCCATTGACTCATCCTCGTCAACACGTACAACCGGAGATTTCCCCTTAGACTTTCTCCTCTTGGACGTTTCTCCTTTATTTCCTCCTCCCATGCTGACCACCTGAAAAAGTTATTAGTACCATAATCGCACATTGTAAATTCATAAATTAGATCCATAAGACATTAAAATAATAAAATGAGACCAAAAATTTAATGCAATATTACAAATCCGAGTAGTCATTAAAAACTAAAAATTCGAAGACAATAGTAAAAGGAGTAACTACATATTTTCCTCTTCATTAATCTTATCACTACTACCACTATCATTATCACTATCATTATTACTATCACTAGTGTCATCTAAAAATACATCGATGTCCTCTTCTTCGTCACTATCACTGGAGCCAATGCTTTCTTCTTCTTCTTCATCGCTTGAGATAATAAAGCCATCGTCATCATCATCACTATCAAGTTCATAGTCTGTAATGTCATTTGGTGGACAAAGCGTTGCATGTATTTGTGGGGAAGGACCCTGCAAAAACTCTAAATCCACCGGAGCATCAATCACCGACCTTGTTTGAGTTCTAAATACAGCCCACCATTGAACCCGATCACGTTTAAGGCTAGGGTAAGATGCATAATACACTTGAGACACTTGGTAAGATAAGACAAATGGATCATACTTGGGATACTTCTTAGTATGATTTACTTCGACAAGCTTGTATTGTTCATGAATGTTCATTCCTTTACCACAATCCATCCAACTACAACTAAACAAAATAGTCTTGTACTCTTTTTAGGGACCGGTGTAGACAAGTTCAATTATGTCGTTTAAAATGCCAAAGTACTCTCCACCGTCCTCACTTGAGACACACACCCCGTAATTCATCGTAGATTTGTGTTTCCCATAGGACTGTGTGTGGAAATTAAAGCCACCGACAAATATCTGGTTCCAAGTTCGAACACGCTTGAAAGGCCTCATAGACAATGCTCGCAACACATCGGAACTTGGTTTTTGTTCTCTCACCTATAACTGTTACGAATACAAGTGTCACACTAATTGAAATGAAATATATTATATTATATTATCACAAATTAATCGAGATGCAATGTTCGAAAGGTATTGTCACCTTGTGATGAAACCAATCAGGGAATTCACTTTCGCATTTCTCCATGACATCTTCTCGACGCAAATAAGTTCGAGTACTAAGAATGTAGTCCTCAAACTGCCTAATAGATTAATGACACATTAAATTTAAGGGATTTTCAAAAGTTTATCGTAAACATATATACCTTTCGTATTCACCAAGAATGCCGGTATTTCTTAAAACGAACAAATGAGCACGTTCGAGTTCCTTGTCATCTAAATACCGAGTTTTACCCAAATTTGACACACGACCCTTATCCACCGTGAACAACTCTGGGATTTCATCGTTGTCAGCCGGGGATTCCATATCAGCATTCACATTTCGACCTAGATCTCGTGTTTTTGTGTCAGTTGAGGGCTGAAAGTAATTGGAGCAGAAGTTTGATATCTCTTCAGTGAGATAAGCGTTGCATATGGAACCTTCAACACGAGGTTTATTACCAATTTTTCGTTTCAGGTGATCGAGGAACCTATAATTATGTTTATGTAGCCGTAGAAGTATAAGTAACGGAAATCAATGAAAGAGATGAAAGTAAGAGTTGAGAAAGGACCTTTGATTTACCTTTCGAAAGGATACATCCACCGATATTGAACAGGTCCACATAACTTGCCCTCATATGGCAAATGAATTGGTAAATGCTCCATGGAGTTGAAGAACGATGGGGGGAAAACCTTCTCATGCTTGCACAGGTTCTCAGATATGTTTTTTTCCAATCGCTCCATGTCGCTAACTGTAATTGTGTAGCAACATAAATCGCGAAAGAATTGGCTTATCTCTGTAATTGCATTCCAGATATGGGTAGGGAGCAATTCTCTCAAAGCAGTGAGCAACAACCTCTCCATGAACACGTGACAATCATGACTTTTCATTACATGTAACTTACCTGATTGCAAATCAACGCATCGGCTCAAATTGGAAGCGTAACCATCAGGAAACCGCAGTTGTTTGACCCACTCACACAAAACCTTTCTCTGAGCCTTGTCAAGAGCAAATGGAGCCTTTGGCATGAATTCTTTTCCTTTATCATCCTCTTGAAGATGTAGCTGGGGCCGTTTACAGTATTTAGCAATGTCATTCCGAGATGATGGGGTGTCACAAGATTGCTTTTTCATGTCCATTATAGTGTGAATCAACTGATCAAAAAAGTTTTTTTCAACGTGCATGACATCTAAGTTGTGACGAACAAGCAGATGTTTCCAATATGGAAGGTCCCATAGAGTGCTTTGCTTAAACCACCCTTTTTTTGCATTCTTGACACGTTTCAGTGCCTCGTGGCCATCTGTTGCTTTCGGGAGGTTTTTCACACATTCCCAAAGTTCCTCTCCTGACATGATGTGAGGTGGTGAACCTTTTTCGACTTTGTTTTTACAAAATGCATTTTTACTATTTCGAAAAGGATGATTTGTCGGAAGGAATTGACGATGGCAGTCAAACCAAGAAACCTTACCATAATTTTCGAGCCAAAATGCTTTGCTTTTCTCCATGCAATATGGACAAGCCTTCTTACCAGCTGTGGTCCAACCAGATAACATACCATAAGCCGGGAAGTCACTAACGGTCCATAGGATGGCTGCTCGAAGATTGAAATTTTGTTTTCTCGAAATATCGTAAGTATTTGCCCCAACTTCCCACAACTGTTTCAACTCGTGTATGAGCGACTGGATGTAAACATCCAAGTTGCCCTTAGGGTTTTTAGGACCAGGAACGAGTAACGAAAGAAACATGAACTGTCTTTTCATACACATTAACGGAGGCAAGTTATAAGGGGTCAAAATGACAGGCCAACATGAATATTGTCCCCCTAACTGACCATGTGGAGCAAATCCATCCGTACATAAGCCAAGTCGAACATTACGAGGTTCAGAGGCAAACTCAGGAAAGCAACTATCTAGGTGTTTCCATGCTTCACTATCGCTAGGGTGTGCCATTGTGCCTTGAACTCGAGGATTTTTAGCATGCCATGTCATTTCCTCAGAAATGTTTTTAGTTGCAAAAAGCCTTTGCAACCTAGGTGTGATAGGGAAATAAAATAGAACATTCAAAGGCACTAAGCTACCTTTAGAAGTCTTCTTGTATCGGTCGCTGCCACACACCATACATGTAGATAATTGAGCATCATCTTTCCAAAACAACATACATCCTTTCGGGCATGCATGAATCTTTTCATGGGGCAGCTCTAACCCCTTAACAATTTTCTTGACCTCATAGAATGTCTCGGCCATGTGGTTGTTGTTAGGAATTGCTTCATTAACCAAAGAAGCAAATCCATCAACACATCTGTGCGGCAAATTATACTCACACTTTAGGCTAGTGATTCTAGAAGTCATCTCTAACACAGACAATGAACTCCCTTCGTACAACGGTTGTTCAGAAGCCCTTAACAAATCAAAAAATGGCTTGGCTTGTGCATTAGGCTCCTCCTCTAATGAAACAGGTGGCTCTTTGGAATGGCCTTGATCTTGAGACTGACCAAAGGCATCCAAAACCATTTCACGATATTCATTTGACTCCCTTCTACGAGTTCCTGGAAACCCTTCCCCATGACACATCCACTCGTAATAATTAGGTAAAAAACCGCTGCGATACATATGAAGTTTGACCGTATCTGGATACCAGAGACGTTTGTTTTTGCATTTAAAACATGGACACCTAACTTCATTCGGGTTGCTACTCTCAGGATGATCTTCCACATATTTAAGGAATTCATCTACCCCCTTCAAGAACTCAGGATTAATAGAATTCCCAACCTTCCTTTCGTACATCCAACTACGTTCTTTTTGTTTCATGATTACAAGTTCTACACAACTAACACATATGCCATTAATCACATTAGTCATAAAGCACAATATATATTTATTGTAGATCAAACTGTTATGGAAATGCAAATGAGAAGAGAAATGATTTCCAAGGGTCCTTAACACTCCAACCTAACCCATCCTTGTACGTTCAATCTCACTAGTGAATGTATGCCATAATTTCAATTCTATGGAAAATCCGGCAGCATCTCCCTACAGTTCCCCGAGTACACAATATAGGCGATTAGAAACACCTATATATGTACCTAGAGAACATTGTAGAGAAATGACAAGCAAGGATCTTCCTTAGAATTAAAACAAAGGAATACATTCACCACCTAAGTGAGAATAAACCTACAAGGACAGTCCCAACCGGGGACTATTCAAGACATACACCTAATGTGTATGCCTTGAACGGGTATCTAGGCATATGATTATGCAAATGATTTTTAAAAAAAATATATATACTTAACTAACATACATATTATTAAACAAATATATCAAGCTTAAACTAAACAAGAGAAACAAATCAAACCAAACCAAAGTAAACTAATATATTATATTAAACTAAACCAAACCAAACTACCGTTTTATATATTAAATTAAACTAACATATTTCTTAAAAAAAAAAACTAAATTAAGATACTTTATATTAAAATAAATTAAACTACAACACATTATATTAACATAATATTAACTAAACTACATTATGTTAAACTAAACTAAACCAAACTAACATTGTTTATTTTAAAGTTCAAGGGAGCAATTAATTAATTCTAAGATTTATTTAAATATATATATACTTAACTAACATACATAATATTAAACAAATATATCAAGATTAAACTAAACAAGAGAAACATATCATAACACCATACTATTAATATAAACCAAATCAAACCAAACCAAAGTAAACTAATATATTATATTAAACTAAACCAAACCAAACTACCGTTTTATATATTAAATTAATCTAACATATTTCTAAGAAAAAAACTAAACTACAATAAGGTACTTTATATTAAAATAAATTAAACTAAAACACATTATATTAACATAAACTTAACTAAACTACATTATGTTAAACTAAACTAAACCAAACTAACATTATATTGTTTTTTTAAAGAGAAGGGAGCCATTAATTACTTATAAGAGATCACCAATGTCACTAAATTAACCAAACTAAAAGTTATTGAATATCTAACAACCAAAGTAAGATACACATATACATTATATTAGGGTTTGTAATGTAACTAACCTTTAGATCTACACTTCTTTTTAACAATTAAACCAACAAAATTGTACAAATCCAACAACAAAATTAAAATAAAAAATAATAATTAAGGGTTTATAAGTAAACAAAATTAAATTGAAAAAAAAGGGGGAAAGCAAAGGCAACTTACTCTCAGACGGAGGTGGGGCATCGCCGGAAACAACCAAGGGCCGGTGGGTTCAGTCACGGCTTGGGGACAGAGGTGCGGAAACAAAATTAATTGACAATTGCACATACTTACCTAGACGCGGCGGCTCGCCGGAAACCACCAGGGCTCAAAAGCTCGCCGGAAACCTTCCTCCCTTCCTCCTTATCTTTCTCTTTCCCGTTCTCTTTCTCCTCTCTCTTTCTTTCCCATTCTTTTTCTCCTCTATATTTCCCGTTCTCTTTCTCGGCGGCTGATGTGCAAGTATCGCCGGCGTAAACAAATTACCACCGCCGCCGCGACATTCTCCTCTCTCCTTCTCTCTCTCCTTCTCTTTCTCTCTCTCCTCGCGCTGCTTCACTTCTCTCTCTAATTTTCAATTATTTCCCCCTTGTTTTTTAGGGCAAGGTCGCAATTTCAATTTTGAAAAAAATGACAGTAGAATTTACGACGGAATTTTTTTTTCCGTCGTAATTTAAAACTTACGACGGAATATTTCGTCGCAAAACACTTTACGACGGAATATTCCATCGCAAGTTTTAAATTACGACGGAAATAAATTCCGTCGTAAATTTTACGAGGGAAAAAGCGTCGTAATCGAAATTTTCCGTCGTTAAATTGCGACGAAATATTTTCCGTCGCAAATATCCACCTTTATGACGGAAAAACATATCCGTCGTAAGCATTCCGTCGCAATTTAGCCTATTTCTAGTAGTGCGCAGTAATAACCACCACACTCCCCTGATTTCCCTCTCCTCTTCTCACTGACCCGCAACACCAATCATCCAACCAAACCAGCCTCAGCAACCCACCACCAATCCGCAACCAACACCACCTATCAGCCCACCACAACCGCACCAGCACCTCAACTCCAATTCACCGCAGCCACTCAATTTCAGCCACCAATTAATCTCCTCCATCCACCCTTTGCGCACAGCAACACCAGCCACAAAACCAGAGCAGCCACGCACCTAAACCAACATCAACCCCCGAACCACCGTCAACAACCAGCATCAATTAAGCAACAAATCGCAAATTCCCGCAGCTCCAATCACCAATTCACATGAGCAAAATGCAATTTCAATTGGGTTCGAGCAAACCGTTGAGAGTTCGGTCGAAGTACGAGTCATAAACTTTCAAAGTTTTGTAAATTGAAGTGGTGTGGTCGAACACACCCATGGTTCGACCAAACCAACCCCGTAGTTCGGCCGCACCAACCCATGGTTCAACCGAACCACTTCACGAGCTTCGCACATGATAATTAATGAGATCGAACGGTTGATATTGAAGGTGAAGGGTGATGCTTGATGATTACCGTTGATGATTGTTGTTGATGGTTGATGGTGGTGATGATGCGTGGTGATGGTGTTTGAATTGGAGTAGCCACGAAATGAAGAGGGGCAAAAAACAATTAGTCTGATTGTTTTATTTTTTTCATAGCTTTTCCTTGTTTTCCCCTTTTTATTTTATTTTTCCTTTTTATTTTATTTTATCTTTTTTGCTTTTTTAGTTTTTAGTTTAGTTATTTTAATTGTTTTATTTCTTTTTAATTTCTTTTATATTATTTTAACTTGTATTATAAATACCCTCTTTGGGTTTATTTTCTAACAACTTTTAATCAACATTATTTTACCTAGTATTAGATTAGTTTAGTCTATTTTATTTTCTCTCTCTAGTTTAAGAGTAGTGAAGAGAGAGAAAGTTGGATTTCCATCGAGTTTTTGAGAGGTTGAAGAAGCAACTTTGTGGAACTTCTTCTCATCTATTCAATGAGCATTTTCTAAATTTCTCTCATCTTTATTTCTTTGCTTAATTCTTAGTTTTTGCTTTTTGTTTGTTGATTTGAGTAGATTAATTAGTTTGTTTGTTTAATCTTGTTTTTATTCTTATTTTACCTTGTTTTCCATGTCTTTCTTCATTATGTTATCTTAGGTCTTGTTCTAGGGAATGGGATGATGGTTATATTAATGAATTGAATGTTTGATTGTGATTAGTATGAAATTGTTTCTTGATTATTGTGTATGGGTGATGCTTTTATGGATTAGAATCTTTCTAGCTAATCGATTTTATGCTCTTAATTGTGCTTTCAATCAATTGTGCGAGAGTGAGTTGGTTGAGAGCCCTAAATTCTTCCATACCTTTGCTAGGGTAGTTGCACGAGAGTGAATTAGTTTAGTAGGATAATTAACATGCTTAATTGTGCGAGAGTGAGTTAAATGTGTTGATGTTCCTAATCGAGGTCATTTTCATCTATTTGTATGATGTTCTTTAATACATTGATGTTATTGGATTCCACTTTCCCTAGTTTAAGTTATTTGTTCTTAGTCGTGTTTAATTTAACCTCTCTCTATCTCACGACCTTTCCTAGTAGTCTAGTTGGCACAAATTAATACACTTAGTCCTTTTGGGTTCGACCCTTTACTGGCCACTCACTAGTTTAGCGTAAGTTTAGGTATTATAAATTTCTAATTTGGTCAGGGTTAGTAGACCAACGACCTACTTCCAACGTCGATCAATTCACCAGTGCGGAGATGTGTAAGAAATGCGAGGGGGACTTTTCTCTAGGATTAATAATCTGTGGAAGCTCGTCTAGCATAGCCTTGTAATTCTCATTGATGCAAAGGGCTAGGATAGAAATCACCCACCCAATTGGATGCATCCCGAAAGGCAAACTCCATCACGAATATCCAAGAATCGAGAGATCAAAATCTACATGAAATCTACCGACTCAATCTCAAAGTCATTTTGGTCGGCTATCCACAACCACCAAAGCTCCTCATGGGATATAGCTCCCAAAGAGTCCTTGGAGAAAAGAGCGTATGTGAGGATTCGGTTGAAATATCACATAGCCGGATGAATCTTAGAAGCGGACTTTGAAGTCTGAGGGTCATACTTTCCTACTTCCGAGATACTCCTCCACCAACGTTGCTCATCATATCCATGCTCACTTGCCATTCTACTATGAAGCGGATAGATACAATGATCCGGATCCTCGGCCTAGGGAAACTTGAAATATGAACATACTTGAGCATCCGTCAAAGAGTGATCATTGTTGAAGATTTGGAAAGTCAAAATCTTTGAGTAATTTGCACCTGGTTCATGGACAACCTCGAGAGAAGAAAGGAATTCATAAGTCACCCTAGCATAGGTAGGGGCATTAAAATCCAATAAGTCTAAAAGATCAAGGCCTTCCGCAAGGAGACGAAAATCCTCATCAGTCCCTAGAAATTTTGTTGTCGTTTGATCATAGAAACGCGTTGGCCTAAGATTTCTCTTTGAAAGACGTTTGAAGCACTCCCAATAAGATTCCTTTGAAAACTCAAGGCCATAAGTTTCCTATACCTCCGGTGGAGGCAGAACAATATTCCTTGGCTTGCTTGAACTAGCTCTAGCTCGCTTCTTATAACGAAGTGTGGCCATCTACAAAGTATCAAGACTAAGAATAAGTAGTTGTTCAATCAAGAAGCACAAAATGGAAATATTTCACAATAGAAACAAGAAATGGTAAAAAATGAACAATGCCATTGATAACATCATGAATATTAAGAAAAAAAAACATGGATTGAAAGCAAA